CCGAAACCGATTTTATTATCTGCATTCTATTATGATATAATTCGATTGGCCGTTCTCGCGATGAAATCGGCCTTGGACGATGGGGAATGGCCTATGGAGCCGAGGCACATCACCTGTGACGAGTACAATAATACGAACACGCCGGAGAGGAAGTTGAATTTTTTCGGCAAATTAAAAGAAGCTTATAAAAATATAACGCCAACATACGCGGGTATTAAATGGGGATCGAGGAACGGGGAGCACCAAGCTAAATTCGTGATGTCTGTCCACTTGGTGGGCATAAAGGATGGAGTTGTTTCGAATACTATCGATAGTGGATCTTGGAACGCAAGCATTTCTTCACCATTACAGGTAAATTATAGAATCTACGTCGAAAATATTTGATCAATATTTGATTTTTACGATGAATGATTATGATTCTTTTGAACATCTATCATTTTTGCTCGCTCTTTCTTTTCTCATTTGTAGATTCTCTAATTTTTCTAATTTAAGTTTTGACTTTCGTGCATCTCGAAGTGATTTTAATCATCGTTTAAAAATCGAGTAAAAATTTTTTTGAATATATATAAAAAATATTATATTTCCATTGTTATTTCTTAATAAAAAAAAAAAAATAATATCAAATATGTGTGCATTATTGATAAAATGAATTATAAATTAGTTATTGAATAGAATTTTCCTGAGATTATTGATAAGAATCGGAACAAACATCATTCATATTTAATTTTTAGAAGATAATATATAAAGTTCCTTACACGTTTAATTAAGCGAGAAAAATTGATAAAAGTATTTTATATAAAAATTTGATAAAGTGTATGCGACATTTTTAAAAAAAATTAGGTCGATCTATTGATTAGAAAAAAAAAAAAACAATTATGGTTTGTTTAAGTCACGCGAAGATGAGGTTCTATTCGATAATCGAGTATCAGGTTTATTATGATAATCGTACTTCCGAGTTAATCGGTACCAATTACGAAGCATCGTTACGATTAAATGAAAATTAATGCACCATTACCATCTCATAAAGTAATAATTATTTCTAGTAATAATTTCTAATTCTCATTTTTCAGTGAAACGAAGAACTTAAGCCAGAATTTCATTAGGGATGTATTAAATAATAAATATTTTCAATGAAATTTTCATATTTTTTAAATTAACCATTGCGAACTTAAAATTTAATTCCTTAGTTCCATTATTCATCGCGATATTTATACCCCTTGACACATTTATTTACAGTTATTGCTGATAGCAGTGTTCGCTAATGGAAATAGCGCATGCAACTATATTTATTTATTCAACATGTAACGCGAAACCCTTCAACTACGTAATTGTGTCTTGACACTCGCGAGTTTCGTATCGAATACTTATTCTTGTCCCGAGATATCATCACTTGCCTTTATATAGATATAATTTTACGTTTTAACGAAGTCTTAATATCACGAAAAAA